GGTCTTAATTTCCGCCTATGGCCGTTTCTGATCCTCAAGTTCCATGGAGACAAAAACATGACCATGCTTTATTCCTATTCTGTAGGCGATAAATGCTAATCAATTAAAAAACACTTTGTGATGATTTTTATAGCCTATATATTTGTTTCTAATCTCCATTACAAAGAACAACACTTGGTTTATTTAAACTTAAACTTAAATATTAAGGAAATGAAAAATCATTGTACATTCGAAATAGCCTACTAAATATTTGTAGACATATTGCTACAATTATTGAATTTCATTGTTGGAAGCATATAAAACCATTATAACTGTAACAAGTATAACAAGAATGTAAGATTATTATTATTATTTAAATCCTACATGCAATAACAATAGTTTTAAGTAGTTAGTTTGTAGGCTAGTTTTAAGATTTAGCTAAATATAATAGTTTGAATTATGCATTCCTTTTCTGCATCAAAGGCAGATTTGTTTTCAAAAAACAAAACAAAAAAAATTGTGATTTTTAGTGATTTAGGTGGCTCCACAGAAAAATAAACACCAGAGACAAGAAATGTTCAGAATGGAGTATTATAGGTATAATTTAACAGCTCAGTTCATCATAATAACATAAAAAAAATATAAGAACAATGTGTCTCAGCTTACATAATGTGAAATAATGAATTTTTTAATGATAATGAAACATCTATTAACACGATTACACACAACAGAGAGATAAATTACACAAATAGCATTTAGTCTACATGAAATAAAACTCATACGGACGTACAACCCAACACAGAAGTCATAAACATATAATCTGAAAGATACAGGGTGATAGGCTACATTGTGTCTCTTTCTCTTAACTTTCTTTTACACATGTGTTTTCCCTGAAAGGGGCAGATGTCTTCCTGGCATTCCCAGCACGGCTGAACATCATGGCCATCAGAAGCGTCGAGATGGCAAAGACTGCAGCCTCCGGTTTTCAGCTTACTGCGAATCATCCGTCGAAGCTCCCAGCGTTTAGCGTCATCCACACAGCACGCCACGTCAACCACACTGATGCGCTTGGGGTCCCACACGCAGTCCTCCTCGCGACCAGACTTGATGGCGGAGATGTTGCTTTTTGGCGGAACCCACGCGCAGTCGTACCCGTTGCTGTGCCACGTTTGCTGAAGAGGATGATTGTCACAGTCTATTTTCTTCACTTTTCCAGCACGCACCCTCAGTTTGAAAACGACTTTGTCGTTCTTGTCGGTTTTATGCGGGTAACATTTGGCTTTCGCAATGTTACGACTGACATAAACCCCGGGGCCCAACATTCCATCTATAGAGGGTTCAAATCCTTCATTAATGATGGTCTCGGCGTTTTTCAAATGCGTGCCGTGGAACATTGTATATTCACGGCCTGACTTCGGTTCCTGGTTCTCAGACAGAGACTTAGTGCGGTCTTTAACAGCTTTCCAGCCACAGAAAGACACACCTCCCTCCATTCTAAGATTGAATACGAAAATTAACTAAGTATTTACACAAACTAAAACAACCTTTTATGTTTAAAATGTACTCACATTTGCTCACCTCCTTCAGTAGGCTATCTTCTATGTCACCCGGTAACTTTCTACTTTCGATTTCGTTACATGAGAAAAATATCGAGAGAGAGAAAAAACATCGCGAGATTCCAAAACGGTTTGCTTTTGTCATCGTCGAACTCACAGAACAAGGTGTGTTAAAGCTTCACACCAACACACAACGGATGTTTTATAGATGTGTTATAAAAAAACGCGGTTCTTGTTTATATTATTTCATTTCTGAGGGAACCAAACGTTACATAAGAAAAATATCGAGAGAGAGAGAGAAAAAACATCGCGAGATTCCAAAACGGTTTGCTTTTGTTATCGTCGATCTCACAAAACAAGGTGTGTTAAAGCTTCACACCAACACACAACGGATGTTTTATAGATGTGTTATAAAAAAACGCGGTTCTTGTTTATATTATTTCATTTCTGAGGGAACCAAACTGTTTAACATCCCCACGACAACTTGCTATTTTAAATATACTAGGCTATATAAATTCGTTTTTACAGATACAGTCCCTCTGGAACATCAATTGCCTTTCTGATGCACTGTAACAAAAAAACAAAACTTTTCATCATTTGATCAACCATCCATTATAACTTTGATTTAACGTAAAAGGTTAAGGAAGCAAACTTAGTTCTTAAAATTTAGGTTATATCCCTTACTTTATTAATAATACTTTATTATACGTAATTATTTATTTATTTATTTCCCCCTTTTCCAGTGGTGACAAGCATGAATCATCCATTTTAAACCAGTCTTTACATAGCCAGGGTACCCCATATCCTACTAATTTCCTCCGAAAGGAACGTTTTTGACCCAGAGCCTCTTTGTAAAAAAATAAATTAATTAAAAGCACTTTGAAACCAGAGATTTATATATTTTGGATTTTGTATATTTCCTCGTCTTCATCTTAATGTGGTACTGTAAGAAAAATGACCTTCCTCTTTTTTTTCCTTTCCTCGTTTTCCTCGCAATCATACTCAGGTTTTAATAAGGCTGTCACACACTCCATTTTTCAACAGTGTAGCCTTAATAGTGTACTCTCTGATCTACAGTAGGCTAGATGCAAATTATTAAGAAACGTCTCCAAGCCAGTTATTTGCATTTAACCAAATGATGAAGGCTTCACAAGCGAAACCATGTGAAGGGTATGAATAGAGGTGCGTGAGCTTGACCATACGTATGTCTACTTAGCTTTTTAAATCTTCTTTCTTCCTTTGGTATAATGAATGTGGTGTATGAGTTCTGATGGAATAGAAAACAAAACTGAAGATCTGAGAAACCTGACAGCGCTCAGCTAAAATTATGATGGAGACAGGTGAGAGTTACTGAAAATGTACATGAGAAAACTATTTTACTATATATTTTTTTATATTTTACTATATACTATATTACTATTTTTATTCAATTTTATTCGAAGTTCAGTTTGTAACGCATTACTGGGGCTGTAGCTACATTTGCATTAAATGTGCTTACGTAAGTATTTGTAAATTATAATTAAACACCGTTGTTGTGTTACAAATATCGACAACAGCATATTTGTATATAGCCTAATAACATATTTGTTCGCTCTTTTCATCTAAATGTAGGCTAGGCTATATAAAACTTTTTCTGAGAAAGAATGCCTTTACTGCAAAGTAAATGTTTATTTTTAAAGAACCTTCATCGGCCATGCTGTAAAACGTAATAAATAAATAAATAAAACAATTAAAAGTAACTTTAAATACATTTTAAAATCTGTATAGCAACTGACACGTGCAAATTAAGTGCTTTGAAACGGATTTTACATAGGCTTGTGATGAACGTTATTAGGTACTTGTTAAAAGCTATAACAGAAATGGTAAGTAAACAATAAAAAGAACAAGATTACATCTGTACATCAGTGTGTTTTTGACACTCTGATTTTTATTTGTATTTTTTTTCCCTAAGAATTTGTTTAGTCTCAGGTGACTATAACAGTGATCTTAGTGGTGAGACCAAAGAGTGTAGTAAATATGACTAAATGTAGTCGTTTTCTGCAATCAAACCCAGGACAACAGTAAGCATTTCAAGCCCTCTCTTGTCTTAATCTATATGTCAAGTACTGCCATTTATGGCTGTAAACGGGTGGATTATGATATCAGGCAAAAGAACTGTGCATGCACACCCTAGACCACAGGTGTGTGTCTGAGAGAGAGAGAGAGAGAGAGAGAGATAAAGACAAGATATGAGTCTATCACTGAAAATGGATATTGGCCATATCAGAATATAAGAAAACATGAGAGAAATTCCATTCCTAAACAACAAAACCGCTGTTTGCCTATGGATCTGAATTTGAAACCTAAAGATCTAAAGCTATGCCAATACTGCAAATTGCTTGTTAAACACTAAATGTTTTGCAAAGATTTTTCCTCAGGCTGGGGTGTTACTGTACATTAACAGATTTTATAGCACGAGTTATACATTTATTGATTTACATTTCTGAAAAGTTCAGTTTGTTTTCTATTGAAACTTAAGCCCATGAGTGGCTGATGTTTGAATAGAGTTATAATGCTCTGCAGGAATGGAATCTCCATTCACAAGAACATGAACTCCAGCATAATGTTTATCTCAATTATTGAACTGTATGAATAACTGCTAATCAAGAGCACTTGCAGTGTTTTAAATCTATTTTACTCACACAGTTTCCACCCCTAAACTATCTCATTAACTAAAGAAAACAAGACCATGAATCAATTTTTTGACTATTACGACAAATAGGGACTTATTTGTAAGAAATGCATACTGTTTAAAACACATTCAATTTTATATTTAACACATTATATTGATCTTATTTGCATTATGAGTTTATTTCAAAAACTGCTGTTGTACACAATGGTTTAAGCAATAAAATCTGTATGCTTTTATTCACAGTCCAACTTTTAAAAAAAATATTAAAATTAAAATACTTTTAATCAAAATCAAAAAAAAAAATTTGAATAGTTTGGTCAGGTCTGTATTACTGAAGCTACAGGTCAGAAGAAAGCAGGAGCCTTTTCGAAGTTGTAAATAAAAGAAAGATCACTGGAGTAAGTTTTACAAGAAAATACTATTTCTTTCTTCTAAGAAGTCTTTCTTCTTCAAAAATGTATGTTTAATTCAACTATTGTGAATGGATAGTGAAAATAAATAGTGATAATGTTTTTAAATATTCTGCAAAACTATGAATCTAGTAGTTTCCAGTAATGGCCAACCTGTGAACACTGGGGAATTATGCAAAAGATACTTATAGCAAACTTATTGTGAACTGGTGTTTTAAATTGGATATGCCCAAGTGATATTTTTATTCACAAAAAGACTTGTTAATATCCACACTGTTAGGCTAATGTTGCTTTGTTGAAGTGTAAAGTCACAGCTCTGAAGTATAATGTCACTATCAATGTGGAAAGCTTTTGGACCAGACTTTATTTGCATGACTTTATTATACAGTATATTCATATAAATACATGTAGTCATTTTTCCCCTAAATTTATTCTTGCAGGTTATTCAAAGAAATTCACATTAACCAGAAGGTTTATAAAGCATGGCATTCTTGTTTTTGATCTTTTTTAATGCTTTATTTTCTTTGTTTCCTAACACCAGATATTGCTTCAAAAAGAGACATTAAACACTGTAAATACATTTCTTTCTCTCCACAGAGTATTCCAAGAGAGTATACCAAGGTGTCAGAGTCAAGCACACAGTCAAAGACCTTCTTGCAGAGAAGCGATTACGACAAACAAATGCACCCCGATTCAGTGTAAGTTAGCCATCATTCTCACCATCTGGTCTGATTTTCTCACATATTATCTAGATCATCCCATATCCAGAAGTGTTTTGCTCTTTTTTTCTTTTGCTTAGACAGTATCTAAATCCAAGAACTTTACATTCACAACATTCAAGCAAATATGTGACCGTGGACCACAAAACCAGTCATAAGGGTAAATTTTTCGAAATTGAGATTTATAAATCTTCTGAAAGCTGAATAAATAAGATTTCCATTGAGGTATGGTTTGTTAGGATAGGACAATATTTGGCCGAGATACAACTATTTGAAAATCTGGAATCTGAGGGAACTAATCAAAACTTAAGTTTTGATATATTTACGGTACAAAATTTACAAAATATCTTCATGGAACATGATCTTTATTTAATATCCTAATGATTTTTGGCATAAAAGAAAAGTCGATAATTTTGACCCATACAATGTATTTTTGGCTATTGCTACAAATATACCCCAGCGACTTAAGACTGGTTTTGTGGTCCAGGGTCACATATAAGTGTAAGATATCGCTCACACAGCGACACTGTTTAGAGCATCCATGCTTGTCATGTCCTTGTTACTTTTAAGAGATAAATATCAGGTACACCTGCCAAAATCAGATCTACCTTCCTGAAAGGGGACAGACAGGTATTGTTACCAGTAGACGGTTAAACCCAAGCCTTAACTGAGGTTATCACTGAGGGATTTGCTACAAAATACAAAAGAACAGACAGTCCTTGTGCTCTAGTGAACTCTGGCTGCAAGTTTTTGTCTGCTTTTGTTTTGTTTGGTGTCCTTATTGAAACTAATGGACCAGTCGGTTCATGCAAATGCCTCAGACGAGGTGGTTGGCCTCAATATATATCTGAACAACAGACCAGCAAAGAGATACACATTACATATTCTACATGATGAATAAAAAGCATTAGTTCATTATTGAAATAAGTTAACTACTATAAGAATACTATTTACAGAATATCCATGAAAAGTGCCTCTATGTGCGGCATGTATTGACTGCGAGTCTCTGACAAAGAATGATATCTGCTAAACAAATTAACTTAATTCCACTGCGTTCTTCCCCGGCACGTCGCAGAGTCAACTGGGATTTGTTCCTAGTCATCCAATGATTTTTTTAGATCCTTGTGGCAAAATCTCATGAGAAGAGCACACACTCCACCAGAGGGAAGTGTACATTTAGAGCGAGGGGGGAGCACTGTTGTGACACTGGCAAATCATATTCAAATATCCTCCCACATGATTTGCCTGGCTTTCAACAGAACAAGCACTAAAACTTGCGCCTTCCTGTCTTTTTCTCCATATTCTCACTGGCTGTACAAAGCAGCCCACCGGGGGTTCTGTGTTTCTCTTCGCCTTTATATTGTAGGGAGATTCATTACATGCCATCTTCTTAAGTGAAGTTTATGAGAAACACACATACATAGACAGACTGTGTTAGTGTCAACTGACTCTCTAACTTTTTTGGTTTTCAGACGGGCAGCAGTTCCTCTCAGGCAGCTTTTGTGCCAATGCCTGGTGAGTCCGTCCGGTAAAGCTTATACACTCCTAGATCTAATCAGATAAGACAGGTGTGCTCAGTGAGAAGCTAATTCATCCAGAATTTCCTGCTTCCTCTTGCAGGGTCGCATATGCTTCCTGGTTACTACAGTATGCGGGCTAATTCATCTTGAATCAGGGTGTTAACAGAATTTCCTGCTTTCTCTTGCAGGGTCGCATATGCTTCCTGGTTACTACAGTATGCGAAGATCCTTCCTCCCAGACTCAGAGCTCTGCCATCCCATGAAGCAGTACTCACCAGACACTTACTCTTCAGCGCTGGGAAGCAAGGCCTTCTCATACGACCACCCCTCCTCTTACCCTTCCTTCATTGACAGCTACTACACTCCTGATTCATATGGAGATTACAGAGGGCCAACAGCTTATACCACCAGCGGAGGGTCACTGTTTCCACCATCTACATTACCAACACTACTAACAAGTCTGTCTGGAGAGACATCGTCACACTTGCATTTGGTATTCACACTTCCTGCAGCTGATATTATTTGGGTCAATGATGTATAAGAATCTCTCTAATTTATTTTAAAACTCATCTGTTAAGTTCTGTTTGTGTTCATATGGTTTTGAAAAATTAAAGTTTCAATTCAATGGCTCTAAAAAATATCTGTCAAGAAAAAAGTAAGAATACACATTATTAACAAGGATACTTTTAAATATATTTTTCAAGGAATGTTTTTTTTTTTTTTACAAATATAATGAATTTGTAAATATAATTTATGAATATCCTATGTTTTTTTATTAATACTTGTTTTCAGCAAGGACATATTAAATTGACCAAAAGTGACATTAATGACATTCACAATGTTACATAAGATTTCAAGGTTTCAAAAAAATGCTCTCATAAGAGAATTTTAAAATAAAAAAAAATACTTTTGAACAAACTTTTGAACAGTAGTTTACAACCTGACAAAACAATGACATAAAAAAGGTTGCACCACATGATTTTGTGGACAAACTATTTTTGTTTTTTTTTTATACAAAATTTGTTAAAAAATTTCCCCAAGAAATAATAATAAAAGATTATGCCAAACTACTACTATGCCAAACAGGTTTTTCGTCTTGTTTCTTTTCAGTTGTATCACCGACATTTTTTACTTTTTGCTCCAATAATACATATCAAAATGAATTTTAATACAGAATTGTATTTTTGAATAAACTAATAGATAGGAGAATGTCATTGACCCCTTTTCTAAGCAAATTAATGAAAAGACTAATAAGCAATGGTGTTTCTCTGCTACAGAGAGACCCCTGGGATCAGCCATCAGAAGACCCAGTCAGTCAGTCAGAAGTCATATGTCCTGAGGGTCCAGCCTCTGTGGCAGACTCACCATCCCTGGGAGGGCCTGACTCTGGGAGTTCCTCTCCATACCGTCTATCCTCTGGGCGCAGCGGAAGCTCCATCCCATCCAGCTCTCAGACTTATACTCTACAACCCTTGGAAGACGTCCCGTATCCAGCAGCATCCTACACCTCTGCTTCCAGCTACTCCTGTCCACCGTACATGACAACACCTGGAGATCTGGCTGTGGTGAAGATGACACCTGCCACCACAGAGGAGGCTGGTGGTGGAGTGGTGTCTCTCAGTGACACTACATCCTGGGCTAAAGATGATGGAACTGGTTCCTGGTTGTCATATGAGACTAGGAGGGCTTTTTAACAGGCTTAAATGACATTACAAAGACTGTGGACTGATCATTTGCAATGACACAGTCTCTTTATTCTTATAGAAAAGGAGATCATATAGGTTCATCATAAAGATGACCTCCTCATGAAATGCTGGCCACAATGTACAATTTTAAATAGTTTATATTGCTTAATGATACAGCAAAAATATGTGTTAATAGTTTAGTTAATTCAGGGTTTAATTATGCATTTTACATGCCCAAGCGTTCTAGAATGAATTAGAAGCAATGCTCACTTTTTTTTTCTTTCCTTTCTTACATTTTCAATAAACCCTCGATGACTGGTCTCGAATATAATTCGCAAATAATACCAAAAATACTCTTTAAACAACAAGCATGTTAGACTTCTGTCAGGAATGGCAATATAAAAAATAAACATGTTTTGATCTGAAGAAAGTGTGTTATCTTTATAGAACAGAACAGAACAGAACAGAACAGATGTTCCAAGGAGCCAACAAGCGCTGTTGTTAGGACGCCACTGCGTTGTTAAGTTAAGGCCCCCTTAGTGACAGGAGTGAATGAGGAAACAAACAGATCGCCTGTTCAAATTTATCTCACTTCAGTTAACTTCTCTCTTATAAGTCATACATTTATCATGCAATTAAATGCCCAAACTAATAAACAAAATATGAATGTATATTTAAAAATATACAAGTCAAAATAAGTTATTTACTTTTGTACTAACTTTTATAAGAGCTTCTATTTGCGAGCCACAGTGTTGCTAGGCGCTTTTTGTTTTTGTTCGTCTGGACAGCAGCGCACGTCAAACTTTCTGAAGTTTGTTTTACATTTCTTATGTTATCATATTGCTTTTTCAGAGACAGGTTTTTAATAAAAATCACTTATACTAGTCTTATAGCCAACTTTAGCTTCGGGAGTATGAATCGTTAAATAGACGTTGTTTCGCAGTTGTCGTAAGGCTCAAATGTTAAAGCCGATCTAAAAAATAAAAAAATAAAAAAACATTCACTAGCTTAGCCAAGATTGTCCATTTCGCCTCAGTCTGTAATGTTATACTGTTCAGCTGCGAAACAAGCCATGCGGAGAAAACTGCCTAAATGATATGCCTGGCTACGTGTGTCCAATTTATACTGACTTGTACTAGCTCTTTACCTGAAAAGTCACCGGACTCTTCTTCTGGGTCAAGGCTTCATCGCTGATGATGGATCAGTACCATATTTTGGAGGTTATCGGGGAAGGGTCATTCGGCCGAGTGTACAAAGGCCGCAGGAAGTTTAGCGGCCAGGTGAGCGCTGCATGTGCGCCGCGATGTCAGAAATTAGCTTTATTTGCCACTTTGAACTGAATTCTGAATTTCATGGGCATTTTTATGAGTGTTTTCCCCCCTAAATATGTAACACCATAGCATCCCCTCCATATAAGTCAAATCTCATTTGGGACTAAAAAAAGGGGGGGGGGGAAGAGTGTTCATCACCTTAGAACGTCTGTTAACCAATCAGAATCAAACATTCTAGAGTCTCGTGGTATACGTTTGAATAAGTGACCTGACACTGAATACAAAATAAATAAATAAATAAATATGATCGTAACGGACTTTATTAAAGACAGAGTCCCTCTCTGTCTGTCTGAGTAACGTCAACACTTTTTATTTTCTAGGTCGTGGCTCTGAAGTTCATTCCCAAAGTTGGTCGCTCAGAGAAGGACCTGCGAAGTTTGAAAAGAGAGATTGACATCATGAGGGGGCTTAAGCACCCCAACATAGTGCTGCTTTTAGACAGCTTTGAGACAGAGAGGGAGGTATGATTGTCACGACCTACTCCCAAGTCACGTTACATTTTCCACTGTTGCATCTCTGTTCCATAACCTGGTGCTTCCAGTATAACGGCTTGTGGAAGTGAAATATAGCTCCCAGGGTTCACAGTTTTCACATTCAAATCTCTATGGAATAATTCTCGTTGGCAAAATGTAGTTGGCATTGGTACAAATGCAGTAAACTTGTGACTTTGATCGTCCCATGAAATGTGTAACTGGAAAAAATATTGGTGAGAAGAACAGTTTTAAAAAAAAACTGAATATGTGTCAGAGGAATAATTAGAGCATGTATACCTCTGGCAGGTGGTGGTGGTAACTGAGTATGCAGAGGGTGAGCTGTTTCAGATCCTGGAGGATGATGGGAGTTTACCTGAGAATCAGGTACATCAGTGGTCACACTGTTTTACAGTAACTGACAGCTCAACGTATTAGATTTCTATCATTCCTAAATACAGAATTTATTCATGCTGGTGTGTGATGCTAGAGTTATCTAGGACCTGGTTCACATTTAGTATCTTTCTACATTTTAAAAGCTAATAATATAATCACTGATGCATATAAAAGTTAAATTATGCCATACAAATTTGAATAAACATCATAACATTTAGCCTAGAGTAAATGGATTTTTGAAAAATGCATATAGTGCATCACTTTTATTTCTTTGATTTGATGATATGCTGGATTTTTTTGCTGCTCTTACCTCCTAACAGGGACACACTCACCTGCTAACCTGTTATTTTATATCTTGTGTAGGTGCGTGAAATAGCCTGCCAGCTTGTTTCTGCCCTGTATTATCTGCACTCCCATCGCATTTTATACCGTGACATGAAACCACAAAACATCCTGCTGGGAAAAGGAGGAGTAGTAAAGCTCTGTGACTTTGGGTTGGTGTTGCCAGTTGGTGCAAGTTCAAACTACTTCAGTAACTCTGTATATATATTTATTTTTCCACGGCTAAAAATAGTGATGGATTCTAGTTTTTGAGGAAGCTTGTCTTGGCATGTCTGAATTAAAGCAGAGTGGATGCATAATTTTCATCCTAATGTGATCTCTAATAGCATAGTGGTGTTATATTCTCTTGACTCTTCACAGATTTGCTCGTGCCATGAGTGTGTCCACCTTGGTGTTGACCTCTATTAAGGGGACTCCTCTCTACATGTCTCCGGAATTAGTGGAAGAGAAACCTTATGACCACTCAGCTGACCTTTGGTCTCTGGGCTGCATCCTCTATGAGCTCCACACGGGGGCGCCTCCGTTCTACACCAACTCCATCTTTCAGCTGGTGCAGCTTATAGTGGCAAGCCTCAACTTAAAAAAGGGTATATTAACAATGCTGCCGTGAGAGTGAAAATTATGTTTTGACCAGCGTGAAAGAATGAATATATTATAAAACCAAATGTAGAGAACTAAAGTAGTCAAAAAGCTGTTTAAAACAAGGATAAAAGATATTGTGAAGAATCATATTACTAAAAGCTAAAAGCACATTGCAAGAGCATTATCATATGTACATATATCCTGTAGAACTAGCCAACATAAAATAACTCTTTAATGGCCCTCTTACGCATGTTTTTGTTTCATAAGAGGACCAGAAAAAAACTGTTTATCGCAAGTATATTTAAATAATTGTTTTATTAATTGGTATATACAAATTTGTTTAGTGTTTTTTCCTCAATTGAATTTTATAAAATATATGTATTATATAGTTTGTTGAATGTTGAATCTGTGTCTGCCATGAAATAGCCTATGATGCTGATATGGCAATAAATACTGTAATACAACAACAACATCCCCATGTAGCCTTTTATTTTTAGAGTGCGCTCAGCTCCACATAAAGGCCAGATCAGTAGAGACTATGAGAGGGAGTTCCCTTCGGTTGTAAAGAGTTGGAACTGCCTCATCTACTGTTCAACCTGACTGAAGACATCCTGAACATTCCAGATCTAACGCAGGTCAGAAAATGCAGATACAATGTTTTTCAAAAATGAATATATACATTCTATTCATATGATTATTATTTTAAACATATTTTAAAATCATATTTTCTAATGTGATTGTATTAAAATTGTTAATTATTATTTGTGAATTAAAATGTAAAATTTAAGAGAGATTATTTTCTTGTAATAATTTCAGTTAATCTATGGGAGCTCATACTTGATTTCTGACTGGTTTTTATTTGATAAAGGACTCACAGGGTGAGATAGTTTTGGGAGATCTGATGAATGTTCTCATAATGTACCTGGAAAAGAGCCCGGGCTGGGAGATAAAAGGGAGGAGGTATGGATTTATGAACTGTTTTTAATGTACACTTAAAGTACACTTTTTTTCCCCAAAACTGAAATTGTTTTTACTTTCATTACTTCAGTAAATCTATTGTTCCTTTTTTTTTAAATGAAAGAATATTTAGTGTTAATTGGATGACTCTTTGTTAGGCTGTTGTTATCCCAACTGCTGCTGGGCTTTTAGTGAAATTTTAATCTTAGTGATATTTTATGAAAATTATTTTTTCTCATCAGAGCTGAGGATCTCTGTCAGCTATTTATATCGGTATTTCTCTGTCGAGACCCAAAGCGTTCAGCGGTAAGTGTCTCTAGCTGAAAGATTTTCTCTCTAGTTTGCGTCAAATGCACTTTTAAACTGGAAAAATGAAGTACAAAAATCGTAGGATGTCTGGTTTCATTTGCATTACAGTTGTGATTTTGTGGTCTCTCCTACAGCTTTTGGCAACAGCAGTCTTAACCTTGTTCACTCGCCGTGGTATATCTGTGAATGTCAGTATGGAAGGGCTTACAGCCTTTTTGGGGAATATTTTGACAGACACAGCAGAGGTACGGTTTCATTATTTATACTGTGAATAAGGGTTAACTCTGTTTGGAGTAATTAATGTCATTGACGTGATGAAATCAAGTGTAGTCATTCCCTACTCTCTTTCTCTCTTTTTCTTTTCCTCTCCCCCTCCCACCATCTGTCTGCTCTCTCTCTCTCTCTCTTTCGTATAGGCACATAACCCCTTACCTGCAGGTTGGGGCATGTGTGATGGCCTTCTGTCACTGATTCTCCACAGACTATCTGAGGTAATTCCTCTCAGATCAATTCTCCTAAAATAATTAGAGAAACAGATAATCCGTTTGGCCGATTAATTGGTTTTCGATTGAATCTACAGTAAATGGCACCAGTTGAAGTCTCAACTGAACAGCATCCAACAACGGTATTTACAGAAAAAGAAACTAATGTGTTACTTAACTTTTTTTTAAATCATACTGTACATTTGTTCAATTTAACAATGAGTCTAAAATATATATATTACATAATACATAAATATATTACAAAATGTTATTATTATTGATAAAATATTACTATTACATATCCATATTTTAATTGTTGTAATATAATGATCATTTAATTGTTATTAGTTATTTAGTTAAGTCATAAAGAAATCAGCAATTAAAATCAGTTTGGCATATTGCTTATGGGACACTTAAATATAATCTGGATCACCAAAAAAGCACTGTTGGTCATCTGTAGTGTTAAAGTCGCAATAAAATGGAATTAGGGACGTATCTTTTCTTCTGTACTGTGCATTACATCCCAACTGATTATCAAAAAAGAAAAAAATGTAGGGAATGTTTTTTTCATTGGTTGTGGTTAGAGCTCACTGAATGTGAGCTTGACTGTGGAGGGGCCTAGAGAAGTCTGTAGTTTCACCTGAAATTAAGTTATGACATTTTGTCTGAAAATTACGAGGACAAAATTTAAAAAAGAAACATGAAACACATACATGGATCAGCGTTTCACTCTAAGATCAATAATATGCATTTACAAAATAGTTAGGGTGAATTGTTATTATGTGCTGACTTTAAAGTGCTGCCTAATTGCCTTTTTTTCTTCACTGATGAAAGTGTGATAGCAGCTCACTGCTCGACTTTCAGGACTCAGAGCTTTGGCCCTGCTTGTGGGCTAAAGTAAACACCACACTGGAAACCGCAACTCCCCAGAGTTGCCTTTTTTCTCCGAATGGTACTGAACCTCAAGAGAACATTCATTTATTTATATATTGCAGCTTTAATGTACTAGTAATTTAATAATATATATGTAGCACCCTTACAACCACTCTGTATGTTATATACGTGAGAATGGGGGTGCTTGGGTTCTTATCTCTGTTTTTTCTCACAGGTCTGTACGTGTTCCTCTCTCTCGCTTTATTGGTTTTCTCCAGCGATTCGTATAACTGTGTGGCTCTCCTGTCGGATAACTCCACAAACTGCTCCTCTGCCCTCAGCCACCTTCTCACCACCAGTTGGTGAGCTTCAAACATTGCCTAAAAAGTCTTACTAATGGTGTCAAACAGTTTTTCACTGTTCGTTTTTATATTAGTGTTTATTTGAAGTGCATCTCTCAGAGGTTTACAGTATATTTCTCTTTTTATAGTGCTGCATTGCTTGAGCGCAGTATTTTCTGGGGTGACTCAGAAATAAGCAGCCTATCAGTGATGAGCTGTCAACTTCTCTGCATCCCCTTCTCTCTGGAGTTACCCTTAGAAAAACTTATTTCTGTTCTCAGATCGTATCAAAGCTCAAATATTGTGGCTGGTTTAGTTCAGGTATGGTTTTATAAAATTTTCAGTATTTAAAGGGGAGGTTCACTGTTTTTTTTCTAGGCTTGATTGTGTTTATGGGGTGCAGTCTAACATGTGTTCTGTTCCTGTTGCCCTGGTGGTGCTTCCATTGTGTCTTCTGAATCGTCTACTGCTATCTGACCTGCAGCACACCGCTCCATGCCTTATCACTGCAGCCCAGGCCACCTCTTTCCTCCCTTACTGCACCGAATGCTCAGACAATAGAGCAGACCACACTCAGAATCAACTTAACCACTTCGGGAATGGTGTGGAGCAATTTAAGAGCAATGGAATTGCAAAAAAAAACAAGATAGATCATAACAAAGGTGACATCAAATCAAAGAAGAGGTTAGAGCAGCTCAAAGGCAATGTAGATGCATCTAAGGAAAAAAATGATTCTATAAAGACTCAATACCAGTCATCCAAAAACAAGAATGAGAAGATCAGAGACATCCAAGCAAAAACCAAAATATATCCACAGAAGACCATGGACCATCTAAGAGATAAAATAGAGCAGCAGGGCAGTTGTATAGAGGAGCTCATGGACAGTTTGGAAATCCATGGCAGTTCTGTAGGGCGTCTCCAATATCTCTCATCTCAGCAAGGGTGCAACATCAGCTGGCTTATAGACAGTCTGGAGGAGTTAAGAAGTTGTGATCACACCAAGGTCTCCACGGCTAAAATTCGATCCTCACCAGAAGAGGTCAGAACAGCAGGTTCTCTGTTGGCTGTTTTGCTACAGAGTGAACTTCTCAGTGGGTGCGCAGTGGAACTCCTTATCCTTCTCTCCCACCTAACACGTCATCTCACCCATCAGTCTTCCTTCTTTCTTCCTGTTGAAACCACCCAACTGCAGTTTGCATTGCGCCACCGAGATGATGGAATCCGAGCGGCCTGCTGTGGCTTACTGGGCCACCTGGGCTCAGGTGTCAGGCAGGTCATCGGTGAATCAAACTTTGACTTATTCCAGGACCTGTTAGGTTGCTTGTGCGATCTTGCTCCATCCGTTCGTAGGGCAGCTTGCAAGGCGGTGGGAAACTGGCTGAGTGTAATGAGAAAAACCGATCTAACTATTTCCAATAAAGTTTTCAAGAATACGACTGGCATTAATGCCTTGTTGGTACAAGACAAATTGAAGAGGACACCAACAATGGAAGGCATCAGACACAGTGAGAGAGATGTATGGATAGAGCTGGCCATGGGAGCTGCTCGTCCCCTCGTGTCTCTGCTGTCAGATGCTGATAATGTCATTCGACAGCACTGCTGTGGGGCCTTGGGTAACCTGGCTGCTTTTGGCGGAGGGGATGGAGCACTTCTCAGTGCAGATGCTCCAGGCTTGATTCTCCAAACTGCCTGTAATGATTCCCATCATGCAGTGCGTCGGGCGGCTGTGGCCACTCTGCATGTGTTTAGCCAACAAAACACATTACTGCAGGTAAGAGCAGTGTGAATCAGTTTTGGCTAATATATTTAGATGTTTGGCGTAAAATATCTAGTTGTGCAAAGAGTGCTGTTCTTGGTGAATTGTATTTAAACACTGAAAGAAAATGAATATAGAGCTGATTTTGTGCTGTATTGCATCATTTTGACAATTGTGCAAAAAAAATTGAAAGACAAAGCTGGTCTAAAACGACAAAAAATCCTTACTGTCATTTTCACATTTTCCCCTTCCTTTCCTCAAGGCTCTGAGGTCTCTAGATGCAGGAAGAAAACTCTGTCGCACATCCCAAAGCTCTTTATTTCAGAGGGATTATCAATGGTTTGTCAGCAAGTTGGACGGGTCGGTTGAAGGAAAAACATAAACATCAGCCTCATAGTTTGTGTGTAAGAGAGAGGATGTAATTTCACATTATTTAAATATGGATTGCTGGCTGCTTCTGTGGCTGGGAAAGCTTTCTTTTTGTCTGTATTTATTTGATCTGTGATCAAAAGAGTTTGACAGAAATTGAATCTGTGTGTTTTGAGAAAATGGCAGTAACTCAAAAACATCTTTAAAAAAAACATTGTATCTTACAATTTAGTAGTATATCAAATGTAAGGTTGTTTTTATTCAGCAGCAAATGTTTGCATTTTTGATTCACACAAGTTATATTTAAGACTGTTGAAGTTGTTTGCGTTTTTTTTTCTGTATATAATAACTAAACTGCACTTGTAATTTTATGATGTGACTATTTTGCAGGCTTAATTGTTTGTATTTATTATTTGCAATTATTTTGTAGAAATTAAGCCATGCGCAAAAACAATAAATAAATAAATTGTAGGCCTATCTATGTATCGGAAAAATTCGGTGAAGTGTTTCCTAAAGTATATAGCCTACTGTAATGTCGTAAAAGTACGTCTTTACGGGGGAAATAAATGTGAAATCCGGGTTTCATTAGTCACACTCTTATTTTGTTGTTTCCATTAGCCTATACAAATCCTTAAATACATGAATAAATAGAATTGCATATAAATGTGTCTGACGTGTGATTTTTAGTTTCGCTTTTTGTCTTGACTTGACAAATCGTCTTACCCTGTCAGTTTATTTATTTTTTCTTTCTAAGATGGCTATTTTATCTGAGATTGCTCGACATAAAACATCCAAACGTTTAACTTTTCAAACGTGTTTGTCAGAAGAAAAGCATTTTGACGCGTATCCGAACTGAAGTACGCAACCACATTTGTGTTTAGGAAAAATGATTTGATCTAAATTATATATTATAATTATTATTATTTCAGATAATATAAAAGAAACTTACCAGTGAAAAATCTGATTGTTTGACAGACGTGAAACTTACTAAACGAACACTAGCCTATAGTGTAAATCATTACAGGCCTATAGCGCGCAAAGTTTAAGCGCAGTCTGCGCAGATTTTCTTTTCTCTTTTTTTTTTAACCCAGTTGTAAAAACCCTTAAAAACGTAACTTTAAATATACTTAGAAAGATTAGTACATTTAAAATAATTGGGGGAAAAGGAAAAGTGAATTGTAGCCTGTGAATCAAATTAATTAGTTTGTATAGGCCTAGGCTACGTGATTATTCACATGTCCTCTAAAATGACACTTGTTCTTAACACTCAAGCACAGACATTTTTAATGGTTATACTTTAAATTAGTGGCCCATACGAGCTGTCTGATGATTTGTGATCATGTTTCCGCCTCCGTGTGTGTGTGAAAAAGACGAACATCAAGACCACATTTAAATAGGCTACTGTTTAGTAAAAGTAAGAGAAGTAGGCTAGCCTATTGAACAATAAACACCAGGGACGATCGGTGTTCAGAAACTATAAATAACCGGACCCGTTAAAATGGCCTCGAAATAAATATGAATGAATCAACCAACCGCTACACAGAAATAAGACTTTTGACAGGAATAAAAAAATATATTATTTTTTTCTCTATTTTCTGCTCCTTGTAGCTACATTTGGTACAAGAAAACTCCGTTTTTTTTAACGTAAATGTTTACTAATCCAAAACTACTATCATGACAAAAAAAGAAGAATTGAAATCTACAGTTAATAATAAAACACAAACGTCTCAATATACTTAGACATCCTACATTGCCTATAATAATCGTGTTAGGCTATTCTTTTTCATTCTTTTTTCTCCCTCACACACACGTAACTGACACTCTGTGGAATCATTTGAGTTTCTTTTTTGCTTCACGTCGTGCATTAGTGAGGATAGGGAATAGCACTGCTCCATATATTTGGCTTTCAAAGCTGTAAACAATTTTCCGGCCAAACAAGGGATAAACTCCGTTTATCCGTTAAACTCAAGGTCTACCGATTAAGCTCTAAAAAGCTCACATGAAGCCATCATCGCCAAAATGCACTGTTGCTGACACAAATCACTTTATTTGAATTCAATGAAATAACAGGAAACACGAAGTAATTAATCGGAGACGATACATTGAAATGCCTCGTACAAAATGACTAGTCTTAGTATTATAGCTGGTGTAAACTCTTGGAAATCGTGTGCCTTCATTTTGGGTTGTTAAAAAAAAGGAAAAGAAAATTCTCAACTTCACAAAATGACCGTACAACACAGCGCATAATTAGCTATATTTCACAAACATGATTGTATACCGCCAAGGAAAGCATATTTTAAGTCGATATGCTAAGCTCTCAGTATCTAGGTTGCTTATTTAGAAGAATTAAATGATATTTGTAATATTGCTACGTAGTAAGGTACACACCACACTTCGGTAAAAAATGCCATAAAAGAAACAAACAGAAAGAAAAAAAAGAGGAACTAATCAAAGCCTGATTTGCAGTTGATTTCTTTGTTATTGTTGTAATTGTGATTAATGCGTCTCCTATTCCAGCAAGTAGAAAATCAGAGTCACTAGACAGGTAACCAGAATAAACTCCTGAAATGTACTAAATTGTAAACCGGAAAATCATAACATTTGTCAAGGATTGTGCATGATTGCAAATGCAATAAATAAATAAATAAATAAATAAATAAAAATCATTTACATTGTTGATGAAATATTGCTAAGAAGTTGGGAAGTCTGCAATTCTAAAGCCACCACAATCATTTCAGTGATTATTAAAAAAGCCATATCACTACAAAGATTTTACTTTCTGTCCCCCAACACACACTTGTAACATTAGAGCAAACAAGCTTTATAAAATCACAAACCCTGATTGTAGTCGCAATAACAGCAGAGACATTGGGCCAAACAGTAGTTTGTGAATCAAATGCCACTCATTCACCTCTAATGAAACGTGTTAGCCAAGAGAATATAAAATAGGACTTCTTAAGCAAGAAGGACTTTTGCAGTAACATATCATTCAGACGAAAGAAAAATAAACATTCTTTATAAAGAGCCATGAAATCTTCCACATGCAAGAACAAAAATACAGGGAATCAACACACATAACATTATTAGGCAGTGCCATATCTTCAGCATTGAGTTACAAACTGACATACCTCCATGACTTTGGACATTAATCGTATACCTGAGCTGCAGGACTAATCTAAAATTGGGGATTCAAAAATACATCATCAGGTTCATTATTCCTGAGGGAAATTTATTTTGAGAAGTGCTTCCCCTGAAACTCAATATATAAGAAACAGATTGCTTTTAATATCAGTGCTCATTCCTTAATTAATTTATGGAAGGAAAAAAGGAACTACCAATGTTGTACTGATTGTACATCATTAGTATTAGTACCATAAATATTGAAACTGCAAATAAATCAATTTAAAAGAAAAAACAGCCTCTGTATAAATTAATATCAGTGCAGGTCATATGCGGAACTTGTGATATTACCTTACAGCCTTTTCTAAATAAATGAAGATGTGTTTGATTTGATCTTGCGTTATTCAGTTGTCAATCCTGAACAGTAAACGCTCTGTTGTTAAAGCTCATTTATGGAAACCAGAAAATGAGCCGTCAAGCCACTCTGGAGAAACGTAAGAGAAAACAATAAAAAGCGGCTGTCATTACAGTCAAAGGACATAATCACAGTGCATATTGACTGATTTGGAGTTATTTCTGAGAAAGTGGATGTCTGTGCTGCAGCGGTTGATGGACTTTGTCAGTTTGTAACGAAAATGAAATGATTGAGTAACGTGCAATAGTACTACCTCCACCACATCCTAAAAAAAAGACACATTCAGTCAAAAAACAACTCAAATCTCCATTGCCTTTCAGACTGCTAACAATTCTACTTGCAGGACCATTGTCAGGTGGTCGAGCTTTTGGTCAGGCGCTGGTTTCCTGTTTGAGGCGTTGGCTGCGGGCCTTGTACACCTCAATCAGGAGGTCTTTCACGTACTGGATCTCCCGCTCCACCGATTCTGCCTTGTCCCGTAGCTCACGGTTTCTACCCTCCAGACCATGAAGCTGTTCCTCCAACGAGTCCAACTCCACTCGCTTCTTTTGGCGATACCTGTTAAAAAATGATTAATACAGAGGAAAGTCAGTTTTACTTACAGAAGGTGTGGTCTTTTAAATCCCACAAGCAGCTACTTCGTAATGCCCGCAGGCATTGTAGTCTGAAGCATAATACAATTTTGCATCTATCAAGTATTTTGTACTTTCATGACTAAGTGTAACTCCAAAACCCCACCAAATGTTCTATGCTCACTCATCTAAAATACAATTGACACCACTGTGATTCTGAAAATACCTGTGAGCTGCAGTCTTGTTCTGGTCTCTCTTCTTTTGTTTGCGTTCACCATGATTCACTTCAATTAGTGGCACCTCTAGGTCTGGTTTCACAATGCAGGGGTCTTCTTTCAGCACACAGACTCCTCTGGCACACGGGGACCCCATTTCAGGTCCGTGGCGTTCACCACTCAGGCAGTCGGGGCTTTGGCCTTCGAGAAAGCCACAGTGGAAGTTATGTTGCCGGTGGATCTCAACGCTCTCCGCCTTCACTGGGTCATTAATGGCCCCAAGGAAGCTGTGGTAGGCCTCTTCTTGGGATGAACTTTGGAGGAAACAGCTTTCGTTGGGTTTGGACTTCCAGGGAATGTTGGCCTTCACATCGCTAGCACCATTCTTGGCTTCACTCATCATTTCTATCTCCACACTTCCTCCTATGCCGCTTAAATTGACTTCTCTGATGCCGTACATCATCATTTCTTCTTTCTTGTGGGGAATTTGAACGGATCCGCTAAAGTTGTACCCGCCACTGCTGCCGGCCTTGCTTGCGCCGACGGCCTCTTCTGTGTAGCGGCAGTTCTTCTCCTCTTTGGGTAAAATGGCGCACCTCCTGATCTCCACTGCACTGCCTAGGCAGTAGCCTTTGCCTACCACCCGTTCATCTTCAGCACAGCTGTAGCTCCCACCAGGTGCAACAGCTGAGTTACCTGAGGAACTTCCTTTGGAACTCCAGATGCTACTCTCG